CGACAGCACATACAGCTCCCGGATTTGGCACTCCAGTGGACAAGTAGCTTTACGTATATACCAAACCTAATGAATTCAATAGGGCCTATTGAGCTCAAAAGGGTTTACGGACTGCGCGAAGAGGATTTCAACGGCAATTTACAATCAACTGTCGTATGTAGTATTTGTATTACTGCGCACGTACTAAAGTTCAGAGTACACACACACATACAGGGGAGTCTTTTAAGTAAATGGGCAAGGGTCAGGGGCATAACAGATAGGATGTACGCCCAAACTGGTGGATAACTCGGGGGGGGGGGCTACCATATATATATATATATATATATATTTATCTCTCTCTGTAAATGTGTGAGTATGTATATATAGTGTTCACACGTCTACCTACCTGCCTATCTATCTAACTATCTACCAAGTAATCCAACGATCAACCTATCTATATACATATTTTTGGCATGCACGGGTGCAGTAAACCTTCCTTCATGCCTTCGTACGTATGTGCATGGCTGTTGATCTGGATTCCTTCATCCCGGAATGACGTTCTTCACGACTAACAAAGTAACTTTCGCGCCACCGTCGCGGAACTTTCGCGAAGGCATACTTACATACATCTGCAAGTTAGAACTTTGAGTTGTAAGCTACAAGCTTTTCGATGACAAGCTGTTGCGGAAATCTTCCTGCGGGCTTCAGGTCTGCGCGGAAGCCACAATAGTTGGAAAGGGCTGGGTAAGGCCGTCTTAAGTTGACAAAGTTTCCTCAAAGCTTCTCGATCGCAAGGCTTTTGGGGGCCAAATCAACTGAGAATGCCTGGTAGTAACAGCAGTAGCAGTTGCAGTAGCAAGAGCATGAGAAGTGGTGGTGGTAGTAGTAATAATAAGACAAATAGTAATAAATACAGAAAGCACTGGCAACAGTAATACTAATAGTAGTAGTCATAATACTAGTACTAGTACTAACAACAGTAAAAGTATCAGTACATAGTAATGGCAATAGTAATAAGAGTAGTAATTGTAAAGATTAATGGCAATAGTAATAGTAATTGTGAATCGTTAAAGCAATAATTAAGAGTACGGCAAGTAGGCTAAACAGATACCTTTCGCAAGAAGAAAAGTAACTTTAGCGGCATCATCGCGGAACTTTCGAAGGCGTATGTAACTATGCAGTTGGCCGCTCATAAAAATTTATGGCTCCAGGAGCATTACATCAACTACCACATCTGTATCCATACCAATATCTACATATACCTGCGTGTATACATACATACTTACATACATACATACATACATACATACATACATGCATACATGCCCATACATACATATCTCTCTTGATCTCTATGTCTCTATCTAAATGTAAGTATGGGGGTATACGTGTGTGTGTGCATGTGTGAATGCATGTATGCACGTAGATGTACGTGCATATGCACATGTATTTGCATCTACCTATCTTTCGTTCTCTCTTCCTTGACTGCAAAGCCGAACAGTGCTCTGTACAGCTCTTTAGTCCTGCGACTTGCCCTGATGCCTCAATTGGTGTGAATCTATATGCATGCAGCGACGGAATTGACCGTATTGACGCAGCGATGTTTTCAAGCTTCGTCATCAAAGCCTACACCTTTTACACCTGTTCCTGTCCGTCCATACTGCCTTCTTGTGACGGTTGTACATACAATTTCGGCCAAGTCGCTGAGACAATGCGCCATGGTAGCTCGCAAGCTGCTCTTCCAATTGCTCGGATGTGGTCCAATCGTCCCCGTCGTCATGCTTCTCGTCCGCATTCAGAAGGAGACCTCGGGCCAGCAAGTTCTTTCGAAAATCTACAGCATAGCAACTTTTAATTTAGCCCTGAAGCCACGGGGAACGGTGGTTGTATGCCTCTTTGAATGTCTTTGTTATAAGCCTAAGCCCGGATTTGAGGCTTGCGGTTGGAAGCCTGCAGCTTTGCTTCGAAGGGCTGGGAACACCAATCGCCAGAGCCAAAAAATGAGCTGCAGGCTCTTCAAGCGAGGTCTTTTTGTTTGGGGAAAGTGTCTTTCAAAGCACGCATGCCGTGTTGGATATGGTTGGAACCGGGAGCTGGGGCACACGCCTCACTTGAGGACACGTTCATCAAAAGAAGGGCTGGATATCCTCGCTAATCCAAAGCCTAAATCGTCGACATGCACAGAGACTACTTGCGCCTGGGGTCAACACTCCAAATTCTGAAAAACGCTCCTCGAGTGCCGCTGAAGCGGCAAGTGTCCTCCACGATCTCCGGTGCGCACAAGGGCAAGAACCCCGATTCTTCTAACGACTCCTGGCTGGAGATGTGTTTGTGGAGCGGGACTTGACGTTTCTTCTAACGACTCCTGGCTGGAGATGTGTTTGTGGAGCGGGACTTGACGTTTCTGGCAGTTTCAAGCCTACAATCGCGCAGAAGCCGCTGCGACCAGCAATTACTGCGACGACGAAAATCAACACTACTGGCACACTACGTCGCTGACCTACGGCACCGATGTTAAAGACTTTTTTGAGTGGTAAGGCGTTCCACTGGTCAAATATATGATCCCAAGTTTATTCGTTCGCTTTCCTGCCAATGCAGAACATTTGCGTCGCGAAGGGTGGGGGCTGAAACTGCGCAAGTATGTCTGAGCTGCACGCGGGTTCGAGTGGCTGATGTACAGTCAATGGAGGCCAGGGTCCACAATGCCTCCTGGGAGACCACTAGCTCGTTCCATCAGGTGAGCCACGGCCCAAGTGTGTTTTTGCGTTTGCCCTCAAAAAGGCAGTGCCAAGATGCACGCTCCTCAAACGATTGTCAAAGGTTTCGCATCTGACATGTGGCATGTTGCGCTGGTGAAGGGCTGCTACTCTCAAAGTGCGAAAGCTTGCGCAGTCGCGGCGAAGCCTGAACACCCCACGTTTGTCAGAAACTCACAAGGACTTGACTTTTGAGCTACTTTGTCTTGGAGTTGTGTGTGCGAGATTGTTTGAGGCTTGTGCTGAACATTCTGGCGGTGCAGGATTCGGGATCGACGGCTTGGGCTCCGGCCTGAGTTGGAGTGTCTTGCCGTCTTGCCCGCTCGCTTTAATGGAGAGAAACGTGTGACGGTGTCTTCCATCGCTGTGGTTCTTTCCCTGCAAGGAGCCAAGGACCCGAAGCCCAGAGCAGAAGCTTCCGATCTCAGTCCAGACTCGAGATCCACAACGCCTTCTACTGGGAAGGCCTATCCTCCAGAAACATGACACAACTGAATAGACAATAGTACAAAGGAACACACAAGCATAGCGCCCCTATTTACAAGGCTGTTTCCCAGGGAGTATGTCTACAAATCATGGGCCGGCCGAAATTTAAACACATTATCTTTTCTGTCTGTGTGCTGCGTGACTGCAGTCGTACCACGGCTTCTTCAAAGTCAAGCACTCCCAAATTTCAAGATCACTACCTTGAAGCCTGAACACTCCTAACTCTTAAAAATCTTACTTGCAGGTTTCCAACTAATTCAAGGCTCCGGGATCAAGGCCACAGCCCCGTCGCTCGGGGTCGCGTCTCCTGTCGGTGCCGCGACGCCTTGAAGGCGAGGGAGATGTGAAAAACAACTTTTGGAGAAAGGCTTCTGGGGGGTTTCTATGGCTTCTGATGTGGCTTGTATATCGGGCTTCGTGTTGCTACTGGACAGAAACTTCAAATCTATAATCTCGAGCCATCTGACAGCCTTCACGCCTGCAATCCCGGAACTTCCACGAAAACCTAAACATAAAAAACCAAACACCGTAAGCCGAAGCCTATACTCTAGACGGAGCCTCCATTGCCGAAGTCAAGCGCGGGCGCGACCTTCCGCGGGTCTCGCAGCGCCGCGGCTGCCACAGACAGGAAAGCGGCGACAGCACGCGACGTCCCTGAGAGAGGGCTCAAACGTTCCACCACAAGCCCGCCGAATCTAATCTACTGTGTCAGACATAAGCTTCCAAAAGCTCTTCATCACGAACTTCCTGTCTGTCACATATAATGGTGACTCCATGGCTTTTTAGTACTGAGATGCCCAGTGGGGGGTTGCTTCCGTTGTGAGATTCCGGGACATAAAACTATGTTTTTGGTGGGTCTGGAAGTTGGTCACAAGCTTTTTTAAAATTAAATTTAAGACAGTTTGGGATGCACGCTAATGCCAAACCGCTTTCACACGGGCATATTCTTATAAGAGCATCTTCTGTATATCAAACATAACGGAAGCCCAAATCAAAGCGGAGCCCGAATTCCAACACCGTCGACACCGGGCCCCTTGAACATAGTTTAACATCAAAGGTGGTGCTAATGATGCTGGTGGTGATGATACTTCGGAGGGGAGAACACTATGGCTCAGCATGAGCATGCTTACGGGTAACATTGGTGATGGTGACCAGGTTCATGGGGATGACAGCAAGGGGCAACTGTCATCGCGATCCTGATGATGACAGTCTTGACCACCATCATCATGATTATCAGTGGGCACCATCGGAGCAAACATACAGTGCGATGGTATTTACAGGCAGTGGATTGGGCGACCCCTTTCTCATGGTGTTTGGCCACTGACCTGGGATCCGCAATGCCCAAACTCTTCCAAATGCGGCGGGGAGTCTGATCATCCGCGGCTGCATGTAATCAAAAATGAACGGCGTAAGTGGTTGTCAAGCTACTGGGCTAGGTGGCTGTACACAGCTGCGGGAACGGGCGGTTGTTTCCGACCCATGCTGCGATCGGCGCAGTGTAAGCCAGGACATCGCAGTGAGCATCATACAGGCTGGCCCCGAACAGTCAGAATCGGCACGAACAGACAGAGCTTGCAAAGCCATCATCTTGCACATCAAACATATCATTGCAGCTTCAAACGAGGAAAGCTGCTCTATTATGCAAGCAGCCAGCGGGAAAACCTTAGCAGCTACAGCAGGTTAAGTTTCGGGCAGTCGGGAAGCCACATTGCCCCAAAAGATCACGAAAACCATCCACCCTGCACCTGTTCAACTTCATCTTGTGCACCGTGTTCAATCACCAAACATGCCTTTGACTTGAGTTTTTTCCAACCTTGAAAGTGGGTAGGGTATGACCATGTACGTAAACCTTGAGCCTTTAACTCTCAACCACAAGCCTTTGACAAAATCCAGAGAGATCCAAGGTCTATACACACCCAACGGCTAGAAACTCATAGAGCAGGCCGGCGGCGACGTCGAGGAAGCCCTTTCAAGGAGCGAGCGAACCCCTTAGCAAATTTGCCTGTGCGTGCCATGCGAAAGGCCAGCTTCAATCGCCGAACGGCCGTCTGCTCGACGCCGACATCATAGGACGGCCGCGAGCCAGCCGTGGTCAGGTGCAGCTCGAGCCGCCGCAGCAAGTAGCCCTCGTAGCGGCCATTGACGTCACACGTCAGGCCGGCCGCACTGATGACATCGCCAATCCGGTCATCAGCAGTCCAGCCAACCGAGCATTGCCACTGCCCATCAAAGCAAACACGCATGTCACCACCGAAACCGGGATTCCAAGCAGGCCTGCGAGCGGCCTGCATGTTTTGCTCGTCCTGAGAGCCACGAACCACAGCGGAGCCCCGAGCGACCATGCTCAAGTCGCAGGGGTTCTTATCAGGGCTTAGGGAAATGGATGCCGAGTTCGGCTTTGATGCTTCTGTTCCGGATCTTGCGGCTGGAGGGTTTGAGGTGAACTTTGAAGGCTATATCGAGATGCCCGATGATGTTGTGAGAGGTGAGGGAAATCGACCCGACCATGTCAATGACAGAGTGATGACAATGACTCGCTTTACAGTCCCTCCGCTGTCGCTAAGGATGATGATGTAATGTTAGTCGAACCCCCATGAAGGAGAAATCTCTACTGAGGAAGTGCCGGACCTCATGGATGTTGAGCCTGAGCCGCTGAAAAAGGGTGTGCAGTTGCTGACAGCTTCGAGCATCGAGAGGCAAAGAACACCTGCGCGAGTATGGTTCAGTCAAGGCAAAAGCAATCATGATGTATGATGATGTCTGCAAGTGTTTGTGTGTGTGTACGGCTGTGTGACGTGGCTTCGGGCTTCTGTATCTTTGGTGTTGCGTGTAGGCTCTGGGAGTTCAAAAGCTGAAACGCTCTGACCAATGTTTGGAATGTTCAGGTTCAGGTTTCGCAGCTGAACAGGGACATGAATGTGCAAGGCCCGTACCGGGTTGGCTTAACGGTATCTGACTGCCCCCTAGCTGTAGAACCTGAAACTTCAAAATCTGTTAAGTCTGCACTGTACCTAAAGGGTCATACACTACCCGTATTTAGGGTACTTACCTTTCTATAAAACAAATCCAAACCACAAAACTAGGTACACTCTCGGGATCTGATGCACTGTGTCGACATGGTTTTCGAGTGTGCGAATGTGAATGTTCGCCTCATATATCTGGCCCAAGCCCATCGTGGCAATCCAAACGATTGTCGTCACAAGAACATCATCGTCAAAAATGACATCGTCATCACCCGCAGGATCAGAGGTTTCATCTGTCTTCATGTAAGTTGTTCGCGGTGATGCAGCATGTTGAAAGGGGCACGAGCGCTTCATGTTGTGCAAAACTTGATCTGGAGCCGAGCTCATCGATCAGACAATGCATAAACGCAAGCTGAGGCAAGCTTCCGAGTTTAGGCAGAGGACAAACTTGCTAAGGAACTACGACGTGCTTATGCAGCTACGACAGGCAGGATCCTTTGTGCGGGAGAGCCCCT